AGTAGTAGTAGTGTATTTCTAATGTTGCACATGCCCTGACTTATTTCCAAAACTAAACCTGAAAAAACAAAATAAAAATAAATAAAAGCACTAAATAAAAGTGTATAATAATAAAAAAAAAAATACTACCACTAAACATTATTCATATTATTATTACTTTTTGTTGGTCTCAGCAAAGCTTTTTGCAGAAAGTACTATAGTACTTGGAAATTTACACTTTTTTCCTCAAAGAATTAAAGCTCCAACCACACAAACACCACACTGTCACCTCTTTGCAACAAAAGCTTTAAGATTCCCTTCCGCTATAATTGTCCTCGACAGGAGGCAGCTTGCTTTGCTTTCATTATCTCAGTGTTTACTTCTCCTTTATGCTGACTGCACGATATTTCAGTCGCTACTCAAATCGCACCGCTCAAAATGAACTGAGCTATAGTGCAGTCCATCCTATAGAAACAATTATAAGACCGACGCTGCTGCCAACGAGTGCTTTTACACACAGCGAGTATATTGCGGTGAGAGGCTAGTCCATCACATTAAAAGGATGGAAGAACCATTACACCTCTGGAAAAACGTGAGAAGTATGTGCGCGTATGTGTTTGCACGTGTGTCTAAATTTGAATGCATTGGGGAGGCCTCGCTCGCAAAAGACTTGGTGTTGCTCACCATTCCAGCTTTTAAAATGGGACAGCTCTTCAGTTTCTAAGCAGTTTTGGCTCTAAAACGTCATTATGTCTGTTGTGCTACAATTGAAGGATTGGAGAGGCGCTTTGGTGTGTCTGTTAGTGGCACAGATGCATCTATACCGAGGTAGAGAAACAAAGAGCCAAACGTTTATTAAATTGGTGCCATTTGGCCAATCAAAGATGTCACTTGGATGTTACCAAATACGAGCACACTGGAGGTTAAACCGAACATTTTATGCAAAAGTCCATTATGAACATGGCAGATAATGGGGGAAGAAAATTACCGAAAACATGTTTGAGTGCACGAAGTGCTCTCAGCTTTTAGGTTCTTGGGAGAAACGTTCTACTCACATGAGAGTGTATGCACATTTTCCTGTCATCATTAAGTTTTAAGAATAACCCAGGGCCTGTAGCAGATGCTTCAAAGATAACATCTCATTGACAAAGAACTTCTTTTTCTCTCTGATTAGATCGGCTTGAAAATCTTCCTGTGCACTTCATCTTTTATTACACTGACAAATTCATCTGTGCTATACTTGCATCATCAAGGATTTTAGTGAAAGTTCTTTTGTAGAATATCAAATTCATCCATGATGATCAGCAAGACTGTATATGACAAAAGAGCTAGAGGGATTTAAATACACATTATACAATTAACTCTTTTCCCCGCCAGCGTTTCTGATCATTTTCACGAAACTTTCATGGCCCCCGGAACATTTTGTTGTATATATATCTGAACATGCAATATATCAAAAGAAAGAACAGACCCTTTGCTTTTTAAAGGTGCCATCTGTCAAAAAAAAAAAAAAATCAAATTATACTCCATATTCCATACCAGATGGGAGCAGTATACCTCCAGAAAGTGAGTTGTGCCGCGGCTGCGCGTACTCTCACGTCTTCAAACAACACGAGCGAGCGCTGTTTTGCTCTCTCTCCCTCGTGCATATTAATCAAATCAATTGACACGATAGTAAAAGGTTGGAAGACCGCAGTTTCACGTGGAGCATTTGGATATTTTTAAAGATTAGAGACTCAATGAATAACATCTCTTCACTAAATTATAAAGGCCGCCTCATAGACGCCTGTCTCAAATACAAGCCGGTGCATTTCGACGATATGGGAAAATAAAAGCCCGGGCTATTATTTGAAGTTTTACGGCATTCGTTTTGTTTATATTCCATTTTTATTGTTAGTTTGAATTAATTTGACAGACAGCATTCGCTGATGTTGACCAAGCTAGCGCCATTCAGAGCTGCCAACTCTCACGAAGACACGCAATTGACACTTTTCACACGCTTTCACGCCACACATCAATTTTGTCACGCACAGAAAAGGACACGGAGACTGACAGACTAGACAGAGCAGGTTAGTTATGATATATAAAAAATCTCAGCTCTCAGATTCTTTCAATTTTATTTAGGCAATTCAAACAATAAATACCGTTTTGGCGCTTGGAAATGTTACACGACAGATCCCTAGCGCAAGTGAACCGATCATCTCTACTAGCTAATGGTAAAAGAACACAAACACTGTTGAAAGATACAGTATGCTAAAACTTACCAAAATGTACAGTATTCCTCGTGAATAATATCGACCAATCATTTTTTTTTAACTCTTCCCTGAACTGAAATGTAGTAGTGGGCTGTACTTTCCACACGATTGACATCAGGTTCAAGTACACACACAAGCCGTGCGAGTTATTTGTGTATTGCAGTTTGGCTGGTGGTTATGATGCCCGCCCGCACACCGCTTCCCATGGCCGAAACTGGTATTATGACACCTGCCGGGCCGGGGCTAGTAATTTAGCATGCCAATTCAGGTTAATATCTCTGCAGCACTATCACTTGTCATTTTTTTAATGACATCATCAACCTTATTTCTTCTCATTCTTTTGATGCGTGTAGCTCAGTTTTTAGATATTTTTACTCAATTCTTACACATGGCACCTTTAAAAAAAAATAAAAAAAATGTTTTTGTCAAAGACTACATCCGGATAGAATTCAGAATGATGATCAAAACATCCATCAACACCCCCAAAGCTTTACAGTCCTATAGCTTGTCATTTCATTCTGTAACATAAGGCAGTTTTGACAGTTTTATATGCTTTTTAATGATGATGATCACATGATTTTACATATGCATCTGCTTACATATGCTATCTCTGTTTTCGCTTATTCTTCGTCGCCTGTCTTTTGATCAAGAGATTCTGTACTCTTTCAGAAGATGTAATAGCAGCCCTACTGTATAACAGTGAAAACACAGAAAGCTGGATGACGTGGAAGTGTTCTCATAAATGATGGACATGTCTGTCAATGGAGGGGAAAGAGTTAAAGTTGCACCAGAGACATTATAAAGTGGGAAAACTATTTGTATACAAATGAATGGGAATATTGCAGCTTTAGAAATTAAAATCCCAGTTTTTGTTCTCTAGAAGGAACATGCACAGTTAACTGGAAGTGCACATATACAGTAGATTTCAGCAGCAGCATCATCATCATCATCATGCAAAGCTTTTCAAATATTTACAGTTACTGAAGCCATTGCAGCAATGCTTTATTTGAGGTAAATCACTATTCATTTATTCCAAAAGTATCTATAAAACAGGGTCTACCGAATAAAATTATTAATAAACAACTTTCAGATGGTCATGTAATCTTAACATAGCACCCCAATTAGGCAACCTGCTCCATACAGAAGCAGTTCTTTGTAGGCCTCTAAGATTCATTATATGATTAAAAAAGGGGAAAAAAAAATCACCGTTAAGAAGCATAATAGCCTTTCAGATAATTTATTTATTCAATATTAAAAAAATACAGCATCTATTGATAGTTATTTAAAAAATACTATGCTTGCTTGATTCGAGTACATAGAAAATATAAAAAAAATGTAATTAAAAAGACAAATATTGGCATGTATGGCGTGCACGCCAAATAATTAGGCGCTCCACTGAGGATACGGCTTAAAAGAGATAATCCTAAAGGATAGAGTTAGACGTGGGAGTAAAATAGATTTTCCAACTTTCTCATAAAACAAAAATAATTGTCTGGCAATGATGAGAGCAGCAGTGATGTTCGATAAGTCCAAGAGCTAAAATTTGCAGGAGTTTCCCAGCCGTTAGCACCCACCTGCAGTGTTTTAATTGCCTTTTAGGGAAACAGAGTTGAGAAAAACAAGCACATTGTACGAATTTGATGACTGAACTCCATCTGCCTGCTGTAGCACATGCCAGTTTTTCCTTTTGTCCATATATAAGACCATACATATTCTGTATTCTTCCGGCCAATGCAAATCCCTGGAGCACTGAACAAGCAAATTAAAATAGCCTTATTTATTTCTTTGCTTATTTTGAGGTCAGTGGCTTTTTTTACTTCCCATTAAAAGTAAAGAGAATCAGGGGAACAGAGATAATATTTTGTATGCTAATGGCTCCAACTAAAACTTTATTTCTATTAACTAGCACACTGATTTTGTATTGAGAATTTGGCTGTATGGCCGATTAGAAACATGCGTTTTTATGGTATGCTAATCATGCTAATTAGCTGTATTTCAAACGATTATAATAAAGCATAAATCCCAGCCTCAGTCTTCGTGGTAGACTGCAACTAATGTGCAAGAATTATAGCGGTGCAGCAAGCGATGCTGATGTTAAAATCTTTAAATTATGCATTATCTCTGCGAGCCAGGTGAAATCATCAACAGCACAAAAATGTGCTAACGGCACAGTAGCTGAAGCAAATACTGCTCATGTTCTTACTGACCGAAAAGGAGAAAAAGGAAGGGAGAGAATTGGGGACTAGAGATAGAAAACAAAGTAATACAGCTGAAAACTGAAGGTCTAATCAACCACTCTGTTTGTTCTCTCGTTTGTTTGTTTATTAGTTTGCTCATTCCTTTTGCTCACTTGTTTGCTCGTTCATGAGTTCGCTCCATCACTCTTGCATTTGTTCACTCACTCGTTTTCTCAATCTTTCTTTCTTTCCAATGTGATTGTAACAAAAAAGATGGATGTACTTGGCAGCTAAAGACCTAATGGCAAGAGGAAACAAAATGGTCCCGATAGGTCAAGTGGGATTTGCATAGACCAAGTCATGAGGTGTGGAAATGTGATTATGCTGTTCGAAATCTCCCCTTGAAATCCTGAGCTGCATGAAATGAAACTATTCTCAGCGTTTGAAAGTAAGCCAATAGTTCTCCTCAATGACATATAGCTGGCCGGCAGGGGTTTCTGAGACCTCTCAGACTTCTCTCTAAAGAACAGTACCGTTTGCATAATCTTTCTATAGTATGTCAGACAGTTGTGTTAAAGTGGAGACTTACGCCTGAGGCCTGGTGTCAAGGAATAATCTCCTGGCAAACCTGCACAGTGAAATAAGAAAGAAAAAAAAATACAATTGGGGGCCTCGAAATTGTGGGAAAGACTGTATCTGCAATATGCTACAGCAGAGTGTCTAGCTTTTTTTAACATATTACTACAGGATGTTTAAATGACTCGTTCACTAATTTGTGTTATGTAAGCTCTGTTTAGTTAGGCTGGCTTATGGTCATGTCTACCACTCAAGTTGAGATATTTTTACCTTGACAAATTAGGATTGACAAATTGAACAAAACTATCAAGGCCAATGGATATGCGTTGACAGGAACATAGCTCAAAGCAGACACTTTAAAATCTGAGAGTAACGGCCATTGCGCACTGAGTACGAAATTTTCGTATGCGTTTTTTCGCGTTCGTCAGCCTAAAAATTCGTCACGCACAGAAACCTTACACACTGAGTCCGATGCGTATTTATTAAACCTTTGCGTGAAAAAAAGGCAAAAATACAAAATGGATTCGTCAAGCAGTGAGGATGATTTTGTTGTCCTCTCTCTTATTGAAAAGAGAAGAGAAAATATTATGTCCATACAATCCTGAAATTGCGCCGAGAGGAAGCACGTCCTTATCAAGGAGTTGCGAATTTATCCCGAGTGATTCAAAATTTACCTCAGAATGTCAGTGGAACAGTTTGATGCTTTGCTTGCGATTCTGGAGCCACATTTTAAAAACAAGACCACCAATTTCCGTGAAACAATCGATTCTGAACAGAGACTGTCAGTATGTCTAAGGTATATGGACGCACACGGCCCAGTGGAAGCGCTGGGTAGACAGAACAGCTGTATAGGCTACAGGTTATATATTGTACCCAAAATAATACATTAGTTATCGAATTGGCTGCTCAATCACACATTAATCGCTCTGAAATTTCAATCTGATTGAAAGGGGAGGTTCATAATCCAATCGAGAGAAGAGAACATAAACACTTGATCGAATTGAAAACTGAAACTGAAAGCACTGCGCATATGTGCAATGATGTGCGGAACGAGCTCCATAGACAGTAAACAAGCTCCCACCGGCCCTGAATTGTCAAAAAAACCTCTCAAAATGCTGGCTGTGGATGCGAAAAATGCAGAAAATCAAACCCGATCCGAATTTTTTTATGACGGACGAAAGTTTCGGAGGCGGTGTGCAAGCGTGATTGACATAACGTGAGGTCGAATTTTTTTTTAACGTGCGAAAATTTCGGATGCGAATTTCGGACTCAGTGTGCAATGGCCTTAATTGTCCTGAAATGTATTGTACAGTGTTTTAAAGGAGAGGAATTTAGAGACGCAATGTGTCTGAAAGAGTCCGACAGCACACTAAAGACAACAAGTCTAATTCATTTAGCTTCGAAATATTAGAGCTAAAAACATGAGACTATCGTCTTTACTAATTGACCCTCCTTCTCCTTTTCTTTCCACCACCACCTCGTTCTTCCTCTTCTGCAGTATGTCTTTCAAGTGCCGTCTAAACACTTAACTTGCTGTTTCTTTATCTGAGGAGCACCAAACGACACCTTCAAGACATTCCGTTTTTCCAGCTTTCACTCCGAACAGAGGCGTGAGAGAGCTGTAACGCATGATGCATGAAGCTAGTGGGTAAAACCTGGCGAGAACCGCTCCTCTTCCTCTGCCTTACGATAAGGACTCGCATATTCCAGTCTCACATTCATTGTTTTGGTTTATAGTTGAGTGGTTTGAGATTAATTATTTGTTGCGCATAAATCCATTATGTGCATTTCTACATGCTCTCAGCAGGCAAACATGGGTCTTTTCTAGTCAATACTGAATAGGGCACTCAGTGTGATAGGCAATCACCTCAGATCAATACTAATGTTTTTAGAGACTTCGGGCGAGCTTTGTTCGAGAAAGAAACCGCTATTTAATTCAGTCAGAGTATATTTATTATCAGCTTTAATTTATAGGCTCAGTACGTCTCATCCAACTGACTGCACTGTCTTTTCTGCTTCAGCTATTGTTTGAATACCAGAGATGCTGTGCAAAATGTCCCCTCAGACTTCAATTTCAAACGCTTTTTTCTTGGTTTTTAGAAGCCTATAAGACACACCTCACTGAGTGCCTGTATGGGCTGTTCAAGCTCTTTTAAAAGCTTTGCCATGGAAGAATCCACACTTCATTTTCTAATTCAAGGTTCAATTTCTTGTAAAATCGCCATTTGACAGCAGCTCTCAGATCTAACGAACAGAAGCATTTTATTTTGCTCAGTAATATCAGCCCTCGGGACCGGTACTACTTCTTCCAAGGCGGTTCAGAAGGACAAAACGACTGAAGCAAAGGTCAGATGAAGTTAAAAGGAAGTCCTTTCTTACCGTCCGCTCACTACAAAACACGCCACCAGGAAGATAAGGAGCACAATGCCACCGGCTATGGACACCGCAAGGATTGTGGACTGGTTAGGGTCCCCAATGGCCAGCATATCTGGAGAGGGAGAAAGAGAAGAAGAGACATATTTGTGTCAATGTTAAACCTTATGTTCTGCTGAGTTTGGTCTCAGAAAGCTCAATGAGTTCCTCAGACCTAATCAAAACCCACAAGAAAGATATTCAGGCATGTGATAAGGACAAAAAAGACGACAACAATAACAATAGTAAAATTACAATACTATAACTTTAAAGCTGCAGTCCGATGTTTTTTTCCTCTTTGTCGCCATCTCTGTTCGGAATCTGCAATTGTAGGCATTCGCGGATTTATCAACTTTGCGTAAGTTGTACTTCCTCCCCCTCGACATCGCACAGCGCAGATGAACACAATGTTTGAGGAAAGTGTGTGCTGTCAGTCTCCGCACCGGTGTGGATACTGGTATTCACAATCACAGATTATTATTTTTGGAAGTATGACCAACATAAGAATTTTATGTTGAAATTTCAACATAAGAATTTACCGTCTGTGTTGAGCTGAATAGGGGACAACTCTAGGGTCTTCAAGTGGGCACCTTCCATCCTAAGTGTTTCGTTGACTAGCCCATGACACCTCAAGAGGGCTCTACAGTGACTCTGGGGATGGAGAAGGGTGACTCTGGGACGCCACTCAACTCTTACTGACTTTTACATCCCTCCTGCTGCAGAGGTTGCTGTGCCCTAACCATAATTTCACAATCTCTCCACAACCCAACCATACACGCAAACCCTTTTGAATACAGCTGTCGAGCCCCACTGTCATTGTTAAAGGGATAGTTCACTTTGAAATTAATTTTTGATATGTTTTAGCTTACCTCAAGGGCATTCAAGATGTAGGTGTCTTTGTTTCCACAGTATTTTCAATTTTGACATTTTTCAGTCAAACGGTTGTTGTCTATCAGTCATACACTGGAGGCTAAAGGGGTCCACCAAAAAGCATGCAGAGAGAAGTCAAAATTAAACATGATTTAATGACTCGTAAATGTAAGTACACATTGATGGCCTAAGACACGAAACGAGCGGTTTGTGTGAGAAAACGAACAGTATTTATATCGTTTTACCTCTTGTAATCATAGCCATGACAAAATGATCTGACGGCACGGGCGCTTCGGTCTGCGCATGCGCCGGAAGTGATCGCTTGCGCGCCTACGCCACTCTTTGTTTATACAGAGATTTCGGAAGTTTTACCTTTCACTAAACATATTTAGATATACGGGAAACCATAATGGAAGATGATTTCGGTGTATCTAAATATGTTTAGTAAAAGGTAAAACTTCCGAAATCTCTGTGTAAATATTGAGTGACGTCACACGCAAGCGATCACTTCCGGCGTAACATTGAACTGATTCAAGTTCGGTTCAGTTGGACATTGCACAACTGATTCAGATCACTTGGACGTCACTGTGATTACACGAGGTAAAAACGATATTAATACTGTTCGTTTTCTCACACAAACTGCTCGTTTCGTGTCTTAGGCCATCAATGTGTACTTACATTTAGGAGTCATTAAATCTTGTTTAATTTTGACTTATCTGTGCATGCTTTTTGGTGGACCCCCTTTGCCTCCAGTGTATGACTGATAGACAACAACGGTTTGACTGAAAAATGTCAAAATTGAAAATACTGTGGAAACAAAGACACCTACATCTTGGATGCCCTTGAGGTAAGATAAAACATATCAAAAATTTAATTTCAAAGTGAACTATCCCTTTAAAATAGGTTCAGTGGAAACGGTTCTGTATGGCATACTACCTACCGCACAACACAATATCCGTACAAACACCAACCCTCATTCATGCAAAATACACAGGAACGTAATAACTGTAATTACTATGCAAACTATACAAATAAACTAACAGACTCTTTGAGTTTTTTACAATTCTAACAGTTCAATCGCTTATAAATTATCATATCACGCAAAACTGTGCACATTATACTTTGTTCTCAAATTGTTAATGTTAACAACATCAGCAAGCATTGCAACTACATGTAAAGTTATTCCGATATGTTTCCTTGTTTTCGCATGGGTCCGGTTGCAGTCTCTTTTTTTTCTGTAGCCACTCCGAAGTCCGAACGAAGTCTTTTGCATTTTACAGTGGGTGAATCTCTAGTTGTCTCTGGTGATGGTCGTTTGAACCTTTCTGGATTCGTCATCAAATTGATAGGTTTAATTAATAATTAAAAGTGCTGGGAGAAAAGGCTATAAATCTCCACCTCCAGCATCGTCACACGCAGTATAGCCTACTAGCCGAGACTCTTCTTTATGTGAACAGATGTGACGTAATGATGCAAAGACATGCTCCAATCTCCCAAAAAAAATCCAATTAAACCATTAATTTTTAACATTTAAGTTTAACACTCACTGGTTATGTATTTTCTCAAATATGGATTTTGCATACTTTTGAACCCCAAAAAAGCTACGGACTGCAGTTTTAAATTGCTGTTTGTACCACAGGTTTGTATATTTCTGTTTTAACTAGGCTTGTACTTTTCAAAAAGTAGATTTTTGCAATATTGGTTGTAAATCATTGCGTTTATTCATTTTCTTTTCACAAGTTTATTCAACTTTTGAACATGTGATCATATGTGGTCTTTTAGACCCCAAAGACGGTTAAATATTTAGCTTCAAATGCTTCAAACTTTACTTTTGTTCCCTTCAAAAAAAAAAAAAAAAAAAAAAAAAAAAAAAAAAAAAGAACCACCTGCATCTGGTCCATAAATAAGTAGGCGAAGACGGGAGTCAATTTTCTAATTTACGCATGCAATCCAAATAGGTATGTTAACAGAGGGAATAACAGGCTTGGTTTGAAAGTTTCACAGCGAGTATATGGATTTTATGCTGCCACAATCGACTCATTACTCAAAACAAATACATCATTTATCAAGCCCGGCAACGCATGAGTAACCGCCTCTTTCAGGAAAATGAATATCTCCAGCAACAGGAATTGATTTAGAATTCCACTCAACTTCATTCAACAATCTCAGTTTTGCACCATGTACCAGAAAGAGATCGCAACTCACTGAGACAGGAACAGATGCACCGATCAGCTAAGCAATTTCTCACAGCTATATGATTGTACCAAGATTTTTATTTATTTTTTTGACAGGGACAGTGACAGGAAAGGACATGGAGAACTGAAAGGAAAGGACGTGGAGAACAGAAGGAACAGTATTAGGAAAATAGGAAAGCAGGATTCAAGCTCAAATCACTCGCATGAGCACCAGAGCTCAATATGTCACAGCAGGTGCGCTAAATAACAGTGGTTTTATAGTTTAGTTAGCAATAAATAAATAGATAAAAATGTATTGAAACGATTATGTTAACTGAAATTAAAAAAAAAAAAATGAATAACTAAAAAATAGACATAATAAATAAAAAAATAAAAATAAAATTAAAAAAAATATTTCTGTTAACTGAACTAACTCTGTTTCTGTTAAAAAAAACAAATGAAAAAATAAAAGGTCACAAAACAAATGAAAAAAAAAAAAATGGCCACAAATTTATATTAGTTTTTTGAAGAAAAATAAACTGGAAAAACGATAAAGTTTTACAACCAAACTGCATAAACATGCAAATGATATCAAATGTCAAAATAACGCTGTAAAATCCAGATTAATTGAGCCTTTTAAATTCAGCAGCACTACTAAAAAATGAATTAAAAAGATCAGTTTAAAATAAACTAAACAAAATTACAAATGTAAAACTATAACTGTTTGCTAGCCAATGGTTCCATAAAGGGGTTTTAGCGGAATATTTTTTTACATTATCAGACTAAACGCATGCTGTTTACAGTACTGTATGTTCTGCTCTGATGTTTATCGTATGAACTAATGCAGACGGTTTAAGCGGTTTATGAATGTCAGTGTGAGCCGAAGGCTTAAGCATTTCTTATATAAATAAAAGAGCAATTACTACACTGGACTCGGTTAACTTTCAGCTTGGCAGATCAGGTCTGCTGAGCTCTGTGATATGCTTCCAGAGACGCTCGCTGGGCCGTAACATACTTTAAATTAGGCGCATATACCACAAGGTCTCTGTGTTTAACGTATGCCCCAAAGCCTTTTAAAATGTCCCACCATTCTTTGATCTCCATCAAAGGAACACAGGTCAGTTGAACACAGCTTCGTTTTTCCTCATGAGACACGGCGACACACACATGCTTACCTCCCAGGGAGCATAAGCAGGAGGTTTGGTAAATGAGTCACACAGTTCACCATATTAAATCAGAACAGTGTCCTAAAACCCCAGTATCTGGTCAACAATGGAAAGAGTATATAGAAAGACACTGGCGTATTGGGGAGGGGGGTTTGTCACCTCTGACTTTCTTAGTTGGGGACACTTAATATTTAACAATGTTATTGATCTGACTGAACTGAGCTGTACAATGACATCATTTTCTTTCTTTCTTTCTTTTTGCAGAACTGCTTTATAGATTAACTGAATTAATTTAGTACTTAAAAGATCTTTACAATGGAACTGAATCAACACTGAACTGACTTCAGCTAAACAACAGCTGAAATGCATAATTTTCCTGTTATCAATGTAAAGCTGCTTTGAAACAATCTGTATTGTATAAAGCGCAATATAAATAAAGGTGACTTGACTTTGTGCATCAAATCAGCAGGATTTGGATCATCTTCTGAAGGATCATGTGACACTGAAAACTGGAATAATGGCTGTTGAAATTTCAGATTTGTCCACCACAGGAAAATTTTTTAATGCTGTCATTGTCTAGAAAAATAACTAAAACTATTATATAGACACAAAGAAAAGGCATACTAAAGATAAAATGATAAAAAAGAGGTTACATTTCCCAGCATAACATCACTATTATGCTATAAGTACTGGTTTGCGGTGGGCTCCCCAAAGATTTGCGGTGTGCCACTAATGAACCATCAATAGAGTGGATCAAAGAAAGGGAAAAGGTCAGAAAAAAGGAAAAAGGAAACTGTTAAGAAAAGGTTAAAAGCATCACCCTCATGACTGGTCTCCAGCTCTATCTCTCCACCGTAGCTGCCGTAGCCTCCGTCAGTGCGCGCCCTCACTCTGAACACATAGGTGGTGCCCGGCTTCAGGCCCTCCACTGTCATCATGTGGGCTTTGGTTTTCAGAACCGTGTAGTTCTGGTCTCTTTGGTTCTGTAACAGAAAAGAACAACAATGTTAAAATAATTTACTCACAGTAAAATAGTTTTGGTTGGATTTTTAGATAGAGAGCAGAAAACTATGGTACATTTAGACTCGCATACTGTTCCTGTTGGAATTTAATGGTAATCTGTAAAATGTTACTAAAACTACCGTTCAAAAGTTTGGGGTCAGTATAAATGTTTTTGAAACAAAATGTTATTATGCTCACTAGTTCACTTAAAAAAAAAAAAAAAAAAGAAATTAAGGTTTTTGATGAAAACATTCCAGGATTTTTCTCCATATAATGGACTTCAATGGGAACCAAACGGTTCAAGGCCCAAAATACAGTTTCAGTGCAAACTGTTCAAAGGGCTTTAAACGATTTCAGACGATGAATAAGGGTCTTATCAAGCAAAACGATCGCTCTTTTTTAAAAAAAAAAAAAAATAACAAAGTTTAAGTTTTATAAGCTCAAATGGTCGGCTTGCTCTGTTCTGTGATGCACGTTCGTGACTCTCCTGTTCTAACTCGTTCATCGAAATGAACAAATCTTTTTTCGTATCATTTGGTTCATTCAACGAACGAAATGAACGAATTGACTCGGGAAAAAGATTTGTTCATTTCATGAACGAGTTCGAACAGGAGAGTCACGAACGCACATCACAGAACAGAACAAGGTGACCATTTGAGCTTATAAAACTTAAACTTTGTTATTTATTTAATAAATGAGCGATCATTTCGCTTGATAAGACCCTTACTCATCGTCTGGAATCGCTTAAAGCCCTTTGAACAGTTTGCAGTTTGCACTGAAACTGTCTTTTGGACCTTGAACCATTTGGTTACCATTGAAGTCCATTATATGGAGAAAAATCCTGGAATGTTTTCATCAAAAACCTTAATTTCTTTTCGACTGAAGAAAGTAAGACATGGATATTTTGGATGACATGGGGATGAGTAAATTATCAGCAATTTTTTCTTTAAAAGTTGACTACTCCTTTAAATGATACAGTACAAACAGTGATCTTGTGAAATATTATTACAATTTAAAATAACCATGGTTTTCTATTTTAATATTTTAAAACGTAATTTATTCCTGTGTTGGCAAAGCTGAATTTTCAGCATCATTACTCCAGTCTTCAGTGTCACATGATCCTTCAGAAATAATTCTAAAATGCTGATTTGGTATTATTATCAATGTTGAAAACAGCTAATTATTAAATTGTTGAAATAGTTTGTTTGTAACAATACCAATTTAATGTATCATTGCAGAACAAAGGAAATATTACTGACAAAATATTAAAGGAAAAGATAAAGGAAATATTAACTTTTCAACAAGCCTTTTGTTAAATATTACAGTGCTGCTATGCTAACAATGTTAACAATTCAATCTGCAATATACTTGTTAAAGCTTTTTCAAGTAAACAGCAGGGTGTGTTGAATTCCGAGTCTGTGCGTACGAGGATTAATGAAGGATATTATTTCAGCAGCATTTTAACACTGTAGCCAGCAGGCTTCACATTTTGAGTCATTTTAGGGAGGCAGCTGCTGTGGTGCTAACTGTCGAGGCCAGGGCTTTCATTTACCCTGTTTGACATGATTATTGGTGTGATTCTAGTAACACGAGTCAGACATCTGCAGTGGTGTGTGAATGTGAGTCTATGAATACAGTGTGTATATTAATTTTATAGTAATTACCTTGTCTGCCAGCTAATATTTAACATGGCAGATTCACTTATTCAATTCATATTGTACAAAAAAATAGCTAGTTGGCTGACTTTGTCTTACAGTCAGCAGTCTGGATAGTCATTTAATTTACATTTACTCTATGCATTTGGCTAACACATTCATCTTAAGCTACTTGCATTCAAGCTATTCAAGTCTAAAAAAAAAACGCTATGTGAATCTAAAAATATCTTGGAATATGATCTTAAAAATTGATCGTCTAAACATAGAATGATCAAAAGACCAATAATATTCCTCAAAGAATTCAGCTACCAGTCACTAAATCAGAGTTTCAGCCAAAACACCCTTTGAAAACCAAAAAAATATTTTCCAAATATTAAAGAGCATCCCAAAACCAAATGAGTTCTGGGAAAGACTTGGTCCCTGTCCACCACGCCCAGAATGAACAAGGATAGAGCAGGTTTGTGTGTGAGAGCGTGGGACCATTCCAGTTCCAACAAACACAGCATGAACCACACGATCTCCAATGCCAGACACCCATCCTGGCATTCAGTCTGAGCTGACATCCCATAATCGCACAGCAACCAGCATGTGTGCCAGACTAGACTGGGTCAAACGATAGCATCTGTGCAGGTTTGATGTCAAAAACCTTCAACCGTCAACAGACGGTACGTTTTGATGAGAATGAAAATGTGTAAATCCCCCCAAAAAATAAAATAATAATAATGTTATGCCATATTTGATTTAATGTATTACATAACGCATTTACATAAAACAAAAATTGATTATTGGATGCACTATCCTTCAAAACCATGATTTGATTACTTGTTAACAACATGTTCTCCTTAAGTTTGGATGTATGTGTATGTGTGCAGGTGTGTTACAGTAAATATATTCTCTCTGATTGTAGAAATATAAATAAATATTTTAAGATATTGCAAGTTGCTTTCAGTTAAAACTGCTGAAACATGCATTTTAGTCAGGGACTAGGCTTAATCGTTGTCAGTGAAACCGGGGGTGAGTATACAGGTGTGTTTCTGTGAAGCCATTCTCTCTGATCGGTGACATCAGCCCTGGTTTCATTCTCCCGTTATAATTAAAGAGCTATGTGTATGTGTGAGCAGTCGGCTGTGGCGTACAGGGTCTACTGATTGCTTTCATTCCCAAAGGCACGATGATGCTTCAGCCCTCAATTACACGTGCCAGAGCTGCCTGGACAACTGCAATCGCTGCAGCTTTTAATGGAGGTCAAAGAAACATGTTTGTAATCTGTGTATGAGGATGAGAAGTCAGCTTGTTAGAGTAAAGCTGATGGAAATAAAAGAGGAGAAAAGGAGAGGAGATGAGATCTACCTTCTCATAGTAGATGACTTCATATTCCACTATGACTCCGTTTGGTCTGTCAGGTCCTTGCCAGGCCAGTGTGATGCTGTCTTTACTCTTTCTCTCTTTCAGGATCACATTCACTGCAAACAGAGAGAGAGAGACAGAAAAAAGCCATAATGAGGTGATGTGCATACAAAAATGGTAAAATGGTCTGTCATTAAGTACTCAAGACCACCTCAGTTCAGTCGCAGGTTTCTGACCCGCACGGTTTAATTTAAAGTCACACTTCTATTGCTTCAAAACCAAACCACTGAGAGCTCAGGATCCCCTTACACACTTGAGAATGCTTTACACACATACACACAAGTGCTGTGAAACCTTTGTCTAAAGAGAGACAAAGGGGAGCCACACGACAGCAGGTAATTACACTCCTGAAACACAGTCTAACACCTTCCCTGTCTCTCTCGCCTGTCCCTTCATCTCTCACTACAGCAGGGCGGACAGAGGAAGGGAATGAGAAGGGGGGCAGAGACAGCAGGTCTGATATTTGGTCAGATGGTTGGAGGTAAATTCTCCTGGTGTCCTTCACCTCCTCTGTGCTCTGAGATGTGTAAACAGTCTTCAAAATTACACCAGACACACAGCGCACACACAAAAACACACACTGGTTTCAATGTTTTATGGGGACCTCCCATAGACATAATCATAATGATTTATATATATATATATATATATATATATATATTGGAAAAAAATGGCATTTATGATAATTTATTTCAGATTTGTATATATTATTATAGATTTGTCTCCAGCTAGTTTATATGGGGTTCTTGACTTGCTTGAGGTTCTTTGTATTTTAGTTATTTAAAACACTACCTGGTTTTCTAAAGAACTATAGAAAGTACCAAATTATAAAACTAAATGGAAAAAATAAATAAATAAATAATAAAAAATTCTGTTATTTAAAATAAATTCTTCTTTTTAAAAAGAAAATCCTTTTTTGGATGTTTTATTCATACGATGCTGTCATTAAATGTGATTTTTCATTCCTAAATTGCTCTAAACTATACAATATTCAGATTAGGGTTGGTTCACGGTTTGACTTGGCCGAATGTATAAATCATTGGGATCTTTGACCCTGTTCTGACACTAAGCACTTCTCTCTCCGCATGTGCCTGTTCTGCTCAAGAGCCTCCCTCTACAGCCCGACCAGCTTCATACATATTTAATACCTCAGCCGAGCCTTACACAAGCCCAATGCCATACACACATTCACAAACACACATTTAATGAGAACACGCCTGCCCTGATGACCCTTGTCGGCCCGTCAGGGGTGTGAGACAGGGAGTTTTGGAGGGCAGTTGTGTCTTTACCACATTTTAGCACCAGACAAACAACCCTCTAGCTGTACTGAACCGTTGCTTTGGCTGTTATTCAATTCTGAAACCTTGAGCAGAGCAGGGGAAATGCAGAACAATATGATGCATCACAAAGACCAGCTCACAAACGCAAACACACACCCAACGCAAGGGCTGTCAAAAACTGGAGAGTTTTGAGACATCTCATTGAATAAAAAAGATAACCTTCACTGTCAGCATAAAGGTTTGGGAAGCATTACATTTTGCTAAGAAAGAGAGAAAAACTGAAAAAAAAGAGTCTCTTGAAGACTCGCACACATCGACTACAAAAAAATCCTTCAAATCAAATTTTGGAGTGGGTTTTGTTTATGGAAATCTAATGAGTGTTTGGCATTCAAAGTGTGATATTGCTTCCAAACCAGATCTGACACAACGCAATGTTTGAACATTGAATAATCTATCAGTCTTCACTGCACAAAGTGACAATTTCAGCCGATTAGATTTCGCTGTGGGTTGGGCTTCCAAGCACAAAGCAATACAAATATATAACAAGCAACATTTAAAAATGATCATGGAACAGAGGCTCAATCTACCTGTCTGACCGGTGGTGATGTTGACAGTGACTTCTTGTTTAGGGGTCGGGCTCAGATCGGACACCCCGTTCACGGCCTCTATGCTAAAGGTGTAGTTGGTGTTGGACAGCAGATCTGTGATCAACACTTTAGGGATCGAGAGACCAAACTGTCGAGGTATGAAATGTACGTTGTTGCTGCAGGGGCTGCATGTCTTTCCGTCGCCGGCACACTTTCTGCAGTGGACGCTGTATGTGACGTCTCCTCTCCCACCGCTGTCTCTCGGGGGACTCCACTCTAGTGTCACAGAGGTGTCGTTTAGGGTGGATATGGGGTTCTCGGGTGCTGATGGAGGCCCTGGGAGAGAAAAGTAAAACAAATACAGAAATAAAGAGTTGGCTTTTACATTTTTTCCCTGAATTGCTAAAGCACTAAACCAAATTCTCAATAGTATAAAGCAATTTGTCGAATAAATCACTCTTTCTGTAAAACAAGTTCAGGTAGTTAAAAACACTGTTTGCAAATCCCATGCACTCTTTTTTCAAAACTCTAAACACATTCTCCTCACTCACTAAAACACATTTTGCACTGTGATGCACATATGTTTGTTAAAATAGGTGAAAGTTAAACACAACTATAACACAGTTATAGTCCACCTGGATGATGCGACAGCAGCCATTTTGCACCAGAATACCCACCACACACCAGTTTATTGGTGAATGTGGCATTCTGTGAATGTGGTTTGAAAAATTGGTTTTGTGTTTAAGGTTTTGAGAAAGTGTGTGATGGTTTTTTTTAGCAATTCAGAAAAACTGTAATTCAGTTTGTTCAAGATCATGAATTCAGTGTTTGAATGAACCTACACCAGTGTTTCTCACTAAAATTGTTCTCAAAAGGCAAAATAAATAGGTTTATCAACATTTAAAAGGAGGACAAACCACTTCCAATACCTTATGGTGTTGAGGTGTTGATGTCAAAGTCTTTATGGTCATTGGCTCAGATTCATTTGTCACTTGGGAATGCAGCTGACAATATTTGGCCCAGTATTTGTTCCACGGCAGATCGCAAGTCTTATGTAAATCACATTTATCCTCGGAGAGGTTTATCCTCCATAGAGAAATAAATCCCTATTGTCGTAAACATTTCATTTGTGTATGCATATATTTAAATATTAGTTTTATTCTATTTACAATAAAATATATATGAATAATTATTTTATGTCAATAACAAATCTAGCAAGCAATTCTCATTAAACAGCCCTTTACTTGTACTTTTCTTTACATTTTTGCCAACAAGAAATAGGCAAACCCATACTGTGCAACACTCTCGCTGAAGCCAGCACACCAACTGAGACAACAAGGCGCAAAAAATTTTAAGAAAAAACAGTTTTGCTGTTTTGCTGGAGCTTTTACCCTGAATGCTTCCCATATTGCATTGCTGCAGTGCATTGGGGGATAGCATTCAACCGAGGTCATCGGATGAAGCCATGCTAATATATATATATATATATATATATACACACATGCATATATATTTAAGAAAAAAATATTATTTATATAAAATATTTATATTTATATATAATATAAATTATATATAAATCTATGTACAGTATATACAGTACATGAAAATATTTCTTAAATATATACAAGCATGTGTGTGTATTTATTTATATAAAATAATTATACACAGTGCACCCACATATATTATGTAAACACAAACTTTTATTTTGGATGCGATTAATCACGATTAATCGTTTGACAGCCCTACTTTAAATCCTTCATTTTAAAATATGCTATGCTATATTTTATATTTGCTGTGCCTTGTCTTTATTTGAAAAATATATATATAATTACCAGCGCGTACGAAATTACCAGATTGCCGAGTCCCCTGACAGTGTTTACTTCCCTTTTATTCACATAATCATTTATTTTTAAACAATTACGGTAAATACGATGAAAAATACTGTAATGCGATTGCAGAAGAAGTTGCCATCTTTATTTTAAGTATTTGTTTTCTAATTTATTCCTAATTTATTAAATATTGATTTAAATAAATACATAAATATCCTACCCTATCTCACGACCAATTCGTACGAAGTCGTACGAGTGATTCAAAAGTGGCTAATTAGTACTAATTCATACGACCTCACTCGTACAAATTTGTACGATTTGTCTAAACCCACGTGACGGTTATGTTTAGGGGCGGGGTCAGGGGTAGGTCATTCGTACGAATTCATACGAATTGGCTAATTCGTAAAATATGTACAATTTAGCTAAATCGTACTAATTCGTACGAGTGAGGTCGTACACATTGTTACGAATTAGCCACCTCGTAAAATTCGTACGAATTCCCGTGAGATCGGGTTGAAATATCGGCTTTATATTGGCCATCGACCACCCTGCTCCCTAAGAAATCAGCATCGGAAAACAATATCGGCTGACCACTACTGGATAGTGCTGCCATGGAGTATTTCTATTTTCTTTAACAGTCTGCTGAACCTGCAACTATGCACAGCTACACTACTGCGTTCAGCAGGGTGTCTGCTTAAAAAGGTTCTCATATGAGTGTGCGAGACGAAAACAGGAAAATACAGCCAGAAGAAAAGAGAAAAGATGGGAAGATCCACAAATGCACATATTCCACAAGGACACAAATTGTTTTTGCAAAGCCTGAGTAATCAAACCCGCTCAACTCTATTCCTAGACAGTGAAAGTTTCTTTCACTGCTCAAAGGGTTTGAAGAGCCTGTAAGAAAGTTTCCAGATAGAGAGAGTAAATGAAGCAAGGGAAACGAAGGATCAGGGTGGAGGAGTTAAAATGTCTGTGGTGGTGACATTTCACCAGATCTACTAGCTAAAGGAAAGGGAGGATTCCTCTGGGACACAGATCAGAGTGTGTGTGTTTGTGGTCACCTGTGGATCAAGTCTATATGGTGCACAACCTAAAGTTCAGCCCAGTCACTGAGATAAAAGAGAGTGTTTTTTTAAGGTTTTAAAAAAGAGTCTGATTAAGTTCTGTTCAACTTTCTGTTCAACAAAAAACGCAACTATTTTCAACATTGATAATAAGAAATGTTTCTTGAACACCAAATTACAATGATTTCAAGGTGATGTGACACTGAAAACTAGAGTAATGGGTGCTAAAAATCAGCTTTGCCAACACAGGAATAAACTATATTAAAATAGAAAAGTTATTTTAAATTGTAATAACATTTCACAATTTTTACAGCATTTTTGATTAAATGTAGCATTAGTGAGCATTAGGGCATAATGACGTTTTTTAAACTGGTTTCCAAAATATTTTAGGAAATAGCATAAATGCTTGACTGAAACACTCTGATGTTAATTCAGTCTTAAAAATGAACATAAAAAGTCTCATTTGAGGTGAAAACAAAATTGACACGTGCATAAACTATGATGCGAATGAGAGAATGTTGTTCACATGCAAGTGTGTGATTTATAGCTGGTTTCTCAGTAATCACATTAGCACATCATTTTTATTTCCTGGCACATGATTTTCATATACAGTACAAAGAGTCTCATTTCGCTGCTGTTGCCCTAATTTATTTTATCATTACATTAAGCAGCGTGTGTGTGTGTGTGTGTGTGTTGGGGGGTGGGTGGCTAAGTGTGTGTGTGATGTACTACAACTGAAGGTCATTAAGTAGATCCATATGTTTAGCTGCATGCATGATTTGCCTTATCAGATGAATGAGTCCTTTAATTAGGATCTGTCATACGGGGTTCGTTCTTTCTCTTTCCTTTCTTTCTTTTTTATTTCTCTCTTTCTTTCTTCCACGCTTCAACCCCAAGCACACACACAAGATATATATATAGGTAATGACTCACTCTCTTGGTCTATATAAGGTGACCTCACCAGTCTTGTAAACGCAGAGCTAAACGTCCAATCTGACGTGATTTATGATGATGAGACAGTGATGAAGGTGAAAATGTACTGAGCCCAGTCTATAAGAATAAATAAGAAAAACAGCCTCCTGCCCTCCATCCATCCATCTGTCCATCCATCCATGCATGTAAAATTAGAACTATCCATTCAACCAACTTTACATAATTTTATCCATCCATGCATTTACCCATTTTTTCATCAGTCCATCCATCCATCCATCCATCCATCCATCCGTCTATTTATCCATACACTATACATTCATACATTCATATTTACCTCCCCCTATCCATTCATCCCTCTTTCCATCAGTTCATCCATCCATGGATTTCTCATCAGCCTATTAAATTTCATGCATGATCTACCTAAAAAAGATTTATGGTTGTAGTACTGGATCACTCACGGGTGCAGGCCATTGACCGTGGGTCCATGTCAGCTCTGTAAAATCCCTTCTCGCAGGAACACTCTGAGGCTTCCTCCTGATGGGAGAAACTGTGCGGAGGACACTTGGTGCAGTAGGCATCCATGGAAGAGGCCTTGTAGGTGCCTGACCTGCAGGCTGCAAAACAGAAACAAGAAGACTGAAAGATTAGACATATTAGACATAAGAAAAAAAAAAAGCAAACCCTTAAAAAAAAAATTAAAAAATTAAAAAAATCGAAAAACAAAATTCAACCCAACTCCAAAACCCAAAGTGCTGTCCATAATTAGTAAATTACTCTAAATACATAGAAACATAAAATAACATCAAAACATAACACCAAGAAAAACATACAACTAATCACTCACAGTTCTTAGACCTAAACAAACGCCAAAAGCTTGATCAAATAAGTTAGTCTTCAAGTCCCTTTTAAACATATACAAACAAAACAGAAAAAAAATAACTAAATAAATAATAAAACAAAAGTCGTACCAGCTTACGGTAGACTATTTTTTAGAGATGATCTTCTAGATTCACCTCTAATGTCCACAAATGACCAGCAGATAAAAAAACATGTAAACCAGCAGTCACTGACAGACAACCTGTTTAAAAACAGTTATTGTTTTTGTAATTTCGTGTGCTGGTGGCACAAAAAGTACACACTTCAGCTGTGAATTTTCTTTCTTCTTTATCAGAGCTGTTACAACATCCTATGTTGTGTAAAATGGGTCAGTCAACACGGACTTAAATAACCATTGCAGAAAAACGAGCCCGAGTGCAGGGATTACAAATAGTTTCTTGTAGCAGAGTGTCCCTAAAGGACTCCACAAAACCAAAACACATCCTTGAAACCTGGATTCAAATTCCAACATTTCCCTGCCTCAGAGTACACCATGATTATGTTTACAAACCGGATAACCTGACTCTCCTCACAAACTGTGGCCATTTCTGTGAAGGGAAAACAGTTAGCTTTCTCTTTTCTATTTATCTCTCTGTCTCTTTTCCATCTTTTTCATATCTGCGTTTCAGTTTGCCCCAATGGATGACCCAATTTCTGAAATATGCGAGGAGGAATTTAGCCTTTTACCCATTACAAACGCAAAGTGTTCACACAAACATGGGCTTGAAAGATGGAGCGTGTAGACTAGTAGAAGTAGGTGGCGAGTAGGCCTTTAGCATAGCCTCACTGTAGCTTAAAGCGCCAATAAAAACACCACAAAGGGCTTCTGCATATTCTAATATATGTAAATTTCGAGGCCCGTGTGAATGCTAATGAATTGGAAAGGGCATATTTATTTGATTGCTTTGCTGCATACAAATCGTCGAGGGGATGTTGGTGGGGGGCGAGGTGGTTCGTGATGGCGCGTCTCAGGGGTAGAGACGTAAATTCATGGTGCAGTTAAGGCGAGAGCGTTAGCAATCTGCACCGCGAGCAAATTAGACAATCCTGCCGGCCGCCGAGGTCAAGCCATCGCTAGTGTCGGAAACGCAATTCAATTGATGGATCAATGCAATGATGAATTTATCCTCGCCTTGATTGCCTGTGTGAGTGGTGAAGGTCACAGATTTAATCAAGGCTTGCAGCTCCCCTGCTCGCCCATAAATCCACACCCAGCAAAGAGCGGCAGGCTAACCCCTGCACCGCCATGATCCAATCTCCACCTCCACCTTCCTATACATTCTCACATCATTCGCTGCTGTCTTGCTTTTACTCTGAAAACATGAATAGAAATACAAAGTGTAACTTTCACAACTTTCCCCTTTTTCTTTGATTTATCACGGGAGTCATCGGGTTAACTTAGTTGTTGTTGTTGTTGTATTTTGAAGGGGCAAGACACATACACCCAATGTATGAGCACCACATCTCAACATATCAAAGAATTTGTTCTATGGTCTTGAAAAGTCTACACTACAAAAATAATGACATTAAAATTATTTATGACATTAAAATGATCATATGACATTATGACACGTTTCTATGTCATTTCTATGTCATGCGAGTAACAGGTTGCTGGACATTAGGTCTGTTATCTCTATTTTCAGGGTACGTTTACACAACAACACTGTACCAAAGAAACGGAAACCGTATTCCTTTGTGCTTTTTGTATACAGGCGACAACGTGGTCAAAAAGATCCCCGTTAACATGGATCAGTGAAAACAATTAAAAACGCTGTATTATGCATGCTAGGCCAGTAGTTGGTGAGGTCACTTTGTAAAGAAAAACTACTGAACATGTTATAACGCATGTATTACACAATTATATTTTAAATTTTTTGTAGTTTACTTGGAGATAATAACAATATTGTTTTCAAAAACTTGCACTTTGAGACCCGTTTTAAAAAGGGTTACGTCATTACACAACACCCTTTCAAAATAGTAGTCCTAATACAATTCACACATGAACACAACATTTATTATCTAAAATCAATATTTTTATTCATAAATGTGTCCTCGATGGTGTACAAATCCCTCTGAAAATTAACAGACTTATCCTTGTAAACAAAGAATTTATTATCTTTATATACTGTACATGAAACGGGTAGGTCCACGGGGGCTTCCATTGTACGTAGTTCCGCCATCTTGAAAAACTATAATAGCAAGAGAGGGACAAAAAGTACACCAAAGTGTTTCCACAACACGTTTTTGCATTCAGAGCCAACGTGACGTAACGTGACGTAACTGAGCAGCAGATAGAGGTGCTTATCACTGCTACGGCAAGTTTAAAAGGCTGCATTGCACTGTTATTTTTAATGGCGAACCATACATACTGTAAAGTCCAAAATAGAACGTAAAAGGAAACGTGACCGGAGATTACAAAAAACAATGTCGGGGTAGTTTTTTCCAGGTGGAAAGAGCTAACGTTAATGCAGGAGAAAGATTTCAAAAGAGACGCTGAAGTCCTGCTTTCTTCTCGACAGGTAAGTCGATGTTACAGTCTTAATTAGAAGCTTTTTTTATTGCTTGGTTGGGTACTTTATTATATAGACAGTAGAGCATTTATAGTTAAAAAAGTCAGGCTCTTTGACGATAGCAGCTACGTAGAGAACCTGTTCTTGCAACCTGTTCACCCGAAAGAAAACTCATCGAAGTACATAACGGCTACCGTAGATGCAACACCCATTTGAAAAAGCGAGGCGCTGGAGAGCACAATTCCTTTGAATGGAAACAACTTTTTCACCGCTAGATGGGAGAAATTCCTCCACAGAGTTAAATGTTTTGTTTTTTATCGAAAGTAGTATATATTTCTATTGCTAACTACTTTTTTAAATGAGTCCCCTAGTTTTAGTTGACCAACTTTAAGGTCACGATGAAACGGAAGTAGCAACCTTTTATATCTTTTCTTCTGTATTATGGCATCCGAGTGAAATGGATTATCCAAAAATGTAGGACAGGCACTTGAGTCATAACCAATTGTATAGAAGGGACAGGGTTTATGCTTAGTGCTGGGTAGTAACTGTATATGTAATCTGGATCAGATTCTAAAATAATTTACTGGTAATTACACTTTAAAATACTCATTATCAGAATACAGTTATATTTTTATTGATTACTCAATACAAAATGGCAGTAAATTATTCATGGGTAAGGTTAAAAGTAATCTAAAAGTTATCAAAAAGTAGTCCGATTATTTTACCTAAAAGTGTAATCGATTATGTTACTAGCTAGTTTTCATCACAACGTGTAATCAGTAATGGACTACAATTTGTAGGAAATCTACCCAGAACTGTTTATGCAGACAAAATGACTGCATGTTGAAGCCTCAAACACTCTCCCAATATGAACCCATTCTAGAACTCTGATCTCGGTTACTAGAATCAATACTTGTCACTGAACATGTTCTAATGCCTGTTAGCAAAGCACAACTAAACCATACCATTGATAGCACAGTGCTTTACCCGATGCTTACAGAGAATGAAGAAATCGAATCAGCATCCTTCCAAATACCAGCCCTGGTGTCTTAACCACTACACTACACCACTGCATCCCATTTCATTTTTCTTATTCAAATAAAAAGTCAGCCAAAAGGGACATTCCATGGTCTCCTAAATAGTCCAAACAAATAGATTCAAATTAGGTTCAAGAGTGTGTTAGTCTTGAGTGTGGTGGTCCTTTTGATGGGTTGTAGTGGCTGGAAAGAGAAGTAGAGAGAGAGAGACAGACACAGAGATGAGTAGGGCTCAGCTCTTAGAAAGCCTAATCAGAAGCAGAGCGTCTGGGGTGAAGACTGGGCACCGTGCCGCTGTACTGGAGAGTTTTGGCCTGCTCTTGAGGGGTGCTGGCTGTTCCTTCCTGGCACTGGTCCATAGTGTTATATCAGAACTCCCAGGCAGCCTGACCAAACACACACAGGCCCTTACGGCCACAGGAAATTCCCTTCCGAGTAACAATCTTTGAAAGTTTACAAAGTGTTTCTGAGAGAAGAAGTCTATAACCTCCAGCATCTGATGACTTTCAAACACTCAGCTTTACCGCAACCGTTTCAGTTGCCCGTGCTGAAAGGGAAAATAATATGACTATGGGGTAGATTGAATAGTCATAATTTGTTCATTCAGCCAAACCCAAATTATATTCAACACAAATAATTTCAAGCAAAGAGAGAAACACTAGAAATTGATCTTATTCGAGCCATAAGGCTCAGGGAAGCCTGATGTTTATTTCAATAGCAATGTTTGACATAATTAAAGACATAAGTACTATTTGAGTAAGATTCCTCCCAACAGCATCATATCCATGTTAGGGAAAATAAAGGAATGGTTATCCAATACTTGTCTACTAGTGAGTTTTTCAAAATTTATTTTCCAGCAGTGCTTTAAAAAGAATTAATTAATACATAGCTGTCAACCCTCCCGTTTTTTCCGGGTTTCTCACGTATTTTAGCTCTTTTCCCGCTGTCTTCCCGTTTTAGTAGTTTCCCGTAAAATATCCCGTATTTTTGTGTGAGACGTACGAGCTCGGACAGATTCGGCTTGAAGTCGTTTATCCTCGGATGCGGTGCCGCGCGCACTGGCCGGAGACACACTGGCTGCGTGGCGTGTACGTATTTATTTCGGCTCCCATGTTAACAGATTAGAGCTTGCACGCTGCCTGCGTGACACGCGCGTCTCCAGAAAACGCGTGCATGCTAGAAATAGAACTG